TAGAGGTTTTTGTTCTGTGTGGGTGTGTATAATAAATACGATACTACTCACATGAATATATAATCTCTCATATAGCAATATATTTCATTGAATAATTAAGTTTCTTAATCTTGCTATATATCTATGCATTTTATATTGTTCAATAAGTCACTGCGCTGTAGCCATTTTTGTTTGCATATTTGTAAAATTGCGTTCACGTATTTACACTATTAACAAGTTATTAGAAGAAAAGCGCTGCTCGTTTTCCTCTTTGCATTCTTCTGTTCTTCACTTCATACGATAAAGCTGTAAATGTGTTTATGCATTACGCAATAAAAAAAATAACCAGCCTGTTATCGGATATGTTCTTTTAAAAATCTAATTCTATAATAATTCGAAGTTTCTGTGCGCGTAAAAAAGCAACACATATTAAATACATATATATTTGCATGACATTACATTTATTTCATAAAAGCATTAAATATATAATTAATGTAATGAATGTAAAATATCCAAGTATGTACGTACTACATAGCAGATACATATATTAAATTGCGCATATTATATAAATGTATAAATGTATTAAACACATAGTTCATACATATTTTATAACATGTAATAATATTTTATTAAAATAGACATTAGAAGAAATAAAGGCCGAATGAGCATACCAATTAAATAATGTTGTAATATAATTATATAATTTTATTCAGTAAAACTATAGCTAAATGATTTGACATTATTTAAGTTTTCTTTAGCCGCAACTACAAATTTCCAAATTATAATTAATTTATTGTAATAATAATCCTACTCGGAGAACACGCAGTTTCCTTTCCGGTGTGAGTCATTGTGTCCACTCACAATCAAGATTGTTGTCCGAAGCTGTCGCTAATCACCTCTTTCTTTGACAATCCAGTTAGTCGACACCCGATTTCCCACGACAGCGATCCCCCTCGATTCCCCCTCGGATCGCTTCCGAAAATGTTCGAAGATTTGTATCAAATGGTGATCCTTGGATGATAGAAGTCGCGGATCTCGAAGCGGGCCAACAAACGCGTCGGGAACCCTTTGATGCCGCAACGACTCGAAGAGAGCCGTGATCACAGGCGCCGAGCCCCTGATTCATAATATGCCGCAGTTTTCGTTATTCTGCGTTGTGAGAATGTGCATGTATGTATGTGTACGTGTGTATGTGTGTGCTGTCCGTCAACGCTTGTCGTGCACGACTTATATATTCGCTCTACGTAACAGCTCGCAGCTAAAATTTTTAATTGTGACCGGAAGAATGATTCATCGAGCAAAGGGATGGATGCTTTCCGACGCATATATATGTATATATATATTATATATGCCGGACAATTTCAAATCGCAATTTGCATCAGGAATTGTAAGTCTTTAGAAATGTCTATAATCCACATTCACATTTGAATTCGAAAAATATAAACTGAATAATTGTAAAATAAAGGAAGCACGAGATGTATGTATATGTGTGCTTATCGTGTAAAAAAATTTCCTTGAAGTATTCAAACGACTTCTCAAATGATTACTGTAAGATATTTACATATACATAAAAACAGATGATATAATAAATTTTGATTAAATTATCAATTATATTATATTATATTGATTACATTATTTGCTAAATTATTTAAAATTCTCATGTGTTTTGTTTGGCGAGTGTCAAAGAATCATAGATCGACGTTCGTTGTATCGAGCGCGAGAAGAACAACTCCTTTTTATTACCTCATTAATTCCAGTAGTACGGCCGACGAATTCAAAGGATGTATGATTTGGTCGCACCCGGCGGAAAATTAATTTTTTTTAATTCACCGGCGACATAAGTAACATCGTATTTCGCGCAAAAATATGGGTTCGCCAAATTCAAGGCTATATACTTGGTGTACCCGAAAGAAAGAGACGTCGTCTCGTCATCGCCTTCGTCATCCTAAGAGTAACAAATATATCCCGGACACATAGGAATTCATATTATTTTAATTATCGTAATTACTCCCGTGAACATTACTCGGGAAACCAGCTTTCCTCAATACAAATCTTCGCGAAACGACGTTGAACCGGCAATAATATCAGGGCAGATAAATCATTAAACTCTTTGCCCTTGTTGTTCCTCGATTTGCGTTTATTTCGTGCAGCATTCAATCAAACTCCTATGGTGGATGCCGGGATACGCGGAACTATTTTTATAGAGAAGAGTATTTTTGTCGATGCCTCAAATTAGTCAAATTACATTTACCTCCCGATCAAAGTTTTAATATTGTTATCTTTATATCGGTTAAATTGAATGAATTTAATACTGATATATCTAAACTCTTACCTTTATATAATATACAGATGTTATCTGAAAGTAGTTAACAAGTATTACGTTTCAAAAATGCCAGTTAAATAATATTTTTATATCACACCGTGTCGTAAAATTTTATTAATCTCTTTCGTTTCTTTTTAGAATATATTGTTAATGGCTAAAAACTAATTTCTTTATAATTATAACAAAATTTTGTAACAAACTTTTACATATTTTGTAATGAGAGCAATACAGGCAGAAAAACATAATCATTTTTGTGACAAATTTATCGATTTGAAATTGGGCAGGGCCTATATAAACTTTGGCGGGACTTCAAACATGAAATAATTCTGCCTAATCCAATTTCGTCAACAAGTACTCTTTTTTCATCCCGGTGCGTTGATGAATTATAGACACGGTAAGAGAGATAGCATCACGCTCTTTCTACATTCAATGATATTTCACCGTGTGTGCACGAATAGGTACTACACACGTGGAACATGGAAAAGAAATGTAAAATATACGGAGCATGTTCATAAAAATATCCGCTTTATTCTTTCAATATAGTATAACAGGTGTAATCAAGGCCGTATTTACCTTCCGTGGCGCAACATCTCTTGGAACTTCCAGCTAGCTTTTACGTAGACACGACCCTGAATGCAACGACAGTGACGACAATAATGTGTATATTATAGTAAGTACATTATAGTACGTGTACATTATAGTCAGTCGCGGATCTACATTTCCAGCGGTCTGATGTTTCTTAACTCTAAACGATTAATATTGCTAAAGAGATCCTTTCTCAAACAGAATTTACAAATACATTACGAATTTATAGATGTATTAGTGTTTAACGCAATTAATATAAATCTTAAAGCTACAGCGAAAATTAAAGACTAAGGGAACATTAAGGGGCAATACATTTCGGCACATTCCGGCGTGCTAGAAAAAAAAAAAATATATATATATATATATATATACGAATACAATATTCTTAAGCTACATTACCGTATTAATAGATCCGCCACTGATGATTGTATTAATCCTAGTACAATAGCTTCGCATAATATCGCAAAAGGACACATGTCATTAAGTTTATTGCACCGTTTTACAATTCGGTCGCTCATTTATAAAGTAAAATTACAAACCGCGATAGAAAAGTATCTCCGTCGTTCGTAAGATTAGATTCTCGACGATACCAAGAGAATTATTTCAGCGCGTGTGTCAGGAGAAAAGGAGGAAATGGAAATGTTTCTCTAAATGCCTACGGAAAACCGACTACAAAAAGGCGCATCGAAAAAACGCACGTATCGTCGCTCGCATTTCTCGCATTAAGAGTTGTAACATTACCATGGAACGTCAAGATGAGCCATTATCCTAATCGAAGTTAATATCTCACTAAGAAAAAAGAAAGAAAAGGTAAAACAAAAAACGTCTCACTAATATTGGATTGAATGATAAAAAACGAAAGCGGAAGAGGATCGAAAAATCCGTAATCCAATAAAATGTATATTTAAAGTTAAAAAATCGAAATGTAAAACATCTCGATGGTGAACAAGTCATCTAGCAGCGATCACTCATCGCGTATGTAACAGACTGATAAATATTAGATTGTTCATATATGAATAAAACTGATTTTTCTCAATAGTATAAAGAGCTTTCATTCGGAATTACTATATTTTTCATTTTACACATTTACCCTGGAATTCGAGGCAATTTTCTTAAATTTACGGAAGTTTTTTTATATCCTTTTTGTAAAAATGTTTTCGTTAAATATGCATCTAATTTTGCATGTTTTTAAAAACATGTCATTATTTCACTTTGTCATTATTTTTGAATCATTGTCCAAGCAATCATAATGAAAAAATTCTTATATAATATCTCAACATTCTTAAGAAATAATTCATCATATTTTAAATTTACGAAAATTTCTGAAATATATACATTAAACTTCTTCAGATTTTACAAATTTTCTTTGGAAAAAATAAAAAATCTTAGAATATTTTAGAAATCAAATTGCAATTCGTGCATTCGAAGTAAGTTTATAAACATGAAAAATCGTGTAACGTATAAATTAAAAAAATAATTGTTTAAAATTTGATACGTTTTTAAACTATTTCATCAACAAAAACGAGGAATAAGACAGATAGTAAGAGTCTATTACGCTAAACTTGGTGTGTAAAAATATGTCTTCAAAATATAATATAATATGTAGTTACATATCCATAATAAATTTTTTCCGTACGTTTCGGCCTTCTTCAGACTTTCTTCAGCGATAAATAATAAATTAGTATGCCAATATCAATAATTTATTCCGCTAATAAACGTCAGTATGTTCCACAATGTACGATGGCGGGCTTCCAATTTCAAGATTACAAGCAAACGTCATTACTACGGGAACAAGACAAGATGCATTAATGAACACAAAAGATTATAGCGTTATCGTAAGTGCGTTAAAAGACACGATTTGACATTTAGAATGTCTTATTGTCTGTCTTATTATTCCTTGTTATTATTTTAAATTTAGAGTCGAAATATTATATCTAATTAACGACATTTATAACGTCTATTTAACGTTTTTTTTTTTTACTACAATAATGTATTAATGTCTCTATACGAGATCTTTCAGTGATTTAATAAACGTCTATTTCATGTGTTTATATTTAAACATTCCGATTAAATATATTTTTTTAACGTAAATCTACTTGAGATGGTCGAGCGTTCTGTATTTTTAATATTTAAATTGTCGCGAATGATAGATTCGACATTGCCTACTTTCACTTGTAAAATATTTTGATTTTTGCAAACTGTTGCTGTATTGTTATACATATTGTCCCGTAATAAATCATTAATGCGATTTATATTGTCAATGCTGAGTGATACTCACTCCCAACGAGTATATAAGTTCATTTTCAGTGCTTTCTCATAAATATCCGAACAAGTTAGTTACACGACTTAAGTATCTGGGCTCTTAAAATACATTCATTTTTTAACTATTCTTTAAGATGGTTCTTTAGTAAAGTGCCGAAAATTTGGGGTGCCTCACCAGGACCCATCATAAATATTTGTCTAATTTGGATAAAATATAATACTTCATATATATATTGATGAAATAGTATAAAACAAACGATATTGCTACTCCGCAAGACATTGCTAGCGAAGTTATACGATATTTTGCCATTTTAATTTTAAATATCTTTCCAGATTGACCGATGATCTTTTCTGTGACCATTAAAATCGTAATTTTTGTAACTATTATAATCTCGTTTTTTAGAAAAATCTCAAATCACGTTTGTATGCAGTTAATCAAAGAAGCGTCTCCGCCCAACCTGTCACTAATTGTAAGTTATACACGAAAAGTTACATTTCCAATATTTTTTTTCTCTTTTATTTCATCGATAATCTTCCCTAGAATTTTGCATACGTCAAGTTCGGCACTTCAACTTTATTATATAAAAAATGTTTTGCTTACATTTTGAGATATTTCTTAAATAACTCGACTTACTAAAGAACCACCTTAAGTCTTTCATAAGTTTCGATTGATTTTACATTTTATTTCACTAAAAATTTCTTCTAGTGAAGTAAAAACTATTTTACTTCGCTAAAAATTTCTCCTAGTAAAGTAAAAGCTATTTTACTAATAATAATGCAATAATAGTACCTGTTGCTCACTTATTCTTGATTGTTTATAATTTACAACGTACTAGCCGCGTTAATGACTGTTAGATTAGTAACTGGAGTATCAAAGAATAGCATAATATTGTTAACATTTCAAAGCATGCAACTGTTGAGCGGAAAATTCAAAATTCTTATTCATATTTGAACAATCAGTAAATTTGCGGGTACAAATTAATATACGAGTATTCCCTCTTTTTCTTCTTCCTTCATTGAGAAATATAAAATAGATTTGAGAATAAGAAACACCTACACACAACACACTCACTCTCTCTCTCTCTTTCTTTCTTCATATTCAGTTCACCCTTGTTTCGCCTATCGTCGCGCTTTCGTTCGTCCCTTCAATCCAGAATGTAGCCTCGAAGATTCGCAGATTGTAGGTATTCGTCACATGATGATCTATCACAATTTTATCCTCAGTCGTACTCGCGAGAGGACTTGTGGGAAAGAGTGTGCCGCTCCTCCTCAGTGGATGGAATTTTCGAAGTCGCGGACCTCACCGTCCTCGACATTTTGCTGACTGTACTGAAGTCCCTGTTGATTCCATTACCACCGGAAATGCTGAAAAAAGACACGAACATTAAAAAGATTTCAAAGCGAGAGAAAAATAGGCAAAGCGAAAATATCATCATTTATAATTATTATTCGAGGCCTGAACGAGATATTGTTCTTAAACATAAACATATTTTGCTACGTTCAATGAATCGAATTCGTTATCGCCTCTCATTTTCAGTGTATTAATATACATTAATAATTAGATATATTTTATATATATTTTACAATACATATATTGACATAATGTAATAGTTTGTCAATTTTTTTTAAATTCAGGATTGCCATAAATTCTTCATACTAAAATTTCAAATGACTTTTTCCTGACTTCCAGACAAAATTTCATGATTTTCCCTAACTTTCAATAATATTACAAATTTTTTTGTATGTCTGTTTGATTTGAAAATTATTTGAAAACTTTAAATATTTTGTTGAAAGAGCAATTTAGAGACAGCAATGTAAATTACTATTACTGTTGTTAACATTGCTTACACTTAATTATTAAGTTGCTAGTGTTTCTTTATCTTTATCTTTTATATATGCGCACAATTTTTTTCCTATGCTTACAATACAAGAAACATGTAAATATAGATTCTTTTTGATAAAAACTAACTGTTTGTTGGAATCTCCGACTTGCTATTATAAGAAGATTTACAAACTTGAAAGAAGAATTACAAAAATATGCAAAGTCAATTTTAATTTTATTAATTTATTCACAAGTGACACAAGAAATTTAAAAGTTAAAAAAAACACTTTTAAATAAATTTAAAATTCCAACAAATAGTAGATAAGTTGAAAATTCTAATGCTCTTAGTGAAGCATTTTAAACCTCTATTAAAAAGAGATTATATTAGCTAACAAAACTGTATAAGTAACATACGTATATTAAACTATTTTAAATCTAAGAATTTTAATTTTCCAAAAAATTTTGTAAAATCCCCTGACTTTTTCCTGATTTTCAGTTTTGTGGCAACCCTATTTATAGAAAAAATATGAGGACGAAAAGATTGATTGAAGAATTTATGTATATATGACAGATTAACTTGACACATACACGACGTCGGTCTTGTCGTCCTCGTCATCTGGCTCCACTTCATCGCTCGGTACCGTGAAATACGTATTCGCGGACGCTGGCCGGAATTTATAGCCTGTCAGAACGAAGAATGCATACGTTGCCATTTCTCGGAACGTTTCGTCCAGCCACTGGTAGTCAAAGCGCACTGTAATCTGCGAAGGAAGGGATATGATTATCGTGTTATACGTCAGGATTCGTGATTCGCGATCACGATCGTGAGATTCATTCGCGCTATAATCACCGTAAATCACGAGATATCGCGTACCTTGAGTATGTACATTATAATGCGGGTGAAGTATATGTAGAATACTATCATAATGTAGAAATGTTTGAATAGCATAAGCTTGCGCAAATTCATCGCCGCTTTGTCGTTCGTGCGGGCGACCTCCTCTAAATGCCTGATGCTCCACACAACCGGAAATAGAATTGCGCCGCAGCACACCAAGTCGACAAGTATGAACATGTCCCGCGAAGTCTCGCGTCGTAAATTGCCCACGTCGCTTTCCTCAATTATTATCTCAGCCACATTTGCCAACACCTGGGAAGAGACACAGTTCCGTTTTTACCGCATCGTTAGACTTATCACCAGACGATTACACAGGCAATTTGTATACTCTTAGATTTCGGTATTCAATGTATTCGGCAATAAAGAGGAATATCAAAATTTTGTTACACTGAAATTCTCATTCGAGATTAATGGAAGAATAAAGTTTTATAAATGTATCTCTCAGGTTAATGATTTTAATTCAAATCGAGATCTCCAAAAACGAATCATTTTAATTCGAATCGATATTTAAAGATTGAATTAACATTATTAACAACGCCGATTGCCATATTATACAGTCATCATCCATGACTAATATTTAAGTTTCTAGTGGCGCTCTGATGGTCAAAAAAATAAATGCCATTTAATATTAAATTTGAAATGGCTAGACAATATAAAGTGAAATAAGCAATTCTACATATTACGATAATATCTTTTTTAAAACGTTTATAAAAAATCAATGCCATTTAAAAATTTTAATGACAAAAATAACTAGATAATATAAAATAAAAAGTGAGCAATTCAGTGCATTACATACTTATTTCATCATATTAAACAATATTTTTTGATATTATTTCTAATGATAAAAATTTTACTTTAATGTAATTTATATTTATATTTGATGTATATTTATATATACATTTATATGTATATTTATATATACATTTATATATATATTTATTTTATTAATATTTTTTGATATTATTCCTAATGATAGAAATTTTACTTTGATGTTTTACTTTGATATGGTAAGACATACAAAACTTGCTAGGTAAGCAATAAGTTAATAGAAAACGTGGCTTGATCTTTTGAAAAATATTGATACCGACTAATTGATCACGAAAGATTTACTTCAACTACATATAAGAAAAAGACATCGATGTTTACTTGCAATGGTATGACCAACATGAAGAGTTTCTTTTCCTTGTCCGAGAGAATGTGCTTTATAAAATTCCATCCCGTGCCAATGAGCACAATGGTGATGAAGAGAACGGCGCCTTTCAGGAGATGGGTAATGTAGTACAAAATCGCCCACGCCTCGACGTGCTCACCCTTGGTCTGGATAAAGTGGTAGTTTATACCGTGGAACAGCAACGAGAAGGACTTCAGGTACACCAGGACAGCCATCAGATAGTGGATTTTGAATACAGAATGCCTGTACATCACGAAAGTACACATTTACACTCCGTTCTACTCCAATGCCTCGTCGTTAACGTCCCGCTGCACTGCCGCCGTTTTCCCCTTACTTGCTTTTGTTGAGGATAAACACCCAGAAGCAGCCCGACAGGAAGAAGAGCAGCGCCATCGTGAAGTACAGAGCCGGCAGCGGCATTTCGCCGGCGCTGAGGAAGTTGTCGTTATTAATCTCCGCTATCTCCACCTACGGGAGAAAGAGTTTCCTTCAGCGTGAACGAGCCGATTGTGCGCTGACAAGTCACCTAATCCGTTCCCCATCCGGATAATCTCACCGTGAAATCCACGAGCAGCGGCTCCTTGTTGTTGTCGTAATTCTGACAATTGTGAAAGTAGAGATTGTACAGGCCCTCCTCCTCCTCGCTGGCGACGTACATGACGAGGCTCGTGTTGTACGACTTCTCGCCCCTCGGCGTCGTCTCCGTCGTCATCGGTAATCTCAGACGGGAGCACGCGTTGCTGTCCGACCCGTGCCTCGCGTCACCGCTGCGAACGACGGCCCTCTCGATCACTGCACAAAAGAATTTTTGTCTGGGTGACGACGAGTTTCTCGATCATTGAATAGAAAAATTTTTATCTGACGACAAGTTTCTGGAACGAAAAGGCCCGAAAGATTCGGCCGCGCGAAAAGCGGAACAAGTTCGCCACTTGCCATTGTCTCGGACGAGTCGTCGTTGCGTCCGCGAACGATAATTGAGGCGCGACACGTCGCCGATGACAGGTGTGGTATGCGCAAAAGAGACAGTTACCTAACAGAACCTTCCAAAATACCTGAGTTTCGCTCGTTATTTATAAGAACGAGGACGAGTCGCGTTAATTATAGCGTCCCTCATCTGCGGCGACGTTCGATCACCGATGTCACCTCGTGGCCACATGCTCATCGATCATCGTTAAAAGCATCCGCCCGAAAAATGCTCCGATTACGCACCTCGTCGTGAATTCGCTGGTCGCGCAAATTGTTCAAATTTGCATTTACATAGAGTGTTTCTTAGAATACTTTTAATATTTTGGGAATTGATTTCTGAGGTCAATTTGAGAAAAACTTATTTAAATGAAGAAAAATTTATATAAACGTATAATCTCAAAAGTCTCGTTTCAGAAATACAAGATGTTAAAAATCCTATAAAATTATTTCCTCATTAATTTAACCGAAGAGATTTTTTTTCAAAGTCGAAATAAATAAAGAATTATCATTTTTGTAGCTATAGTTTTATTTTGTGAAAAATTTGGAGCAATAATGTATAACTGAGATTTCATTTTTACGACATTCATTTTTATATTGACTCTTTATAGAACGGCTATATATAAAAAATGAAAATAATATCTATTTATTAGTCCAAGTTAAAAAAAAAAAATTTTTTTTTTTTAAGATCTGTTAAGAAAAAGCGAAAATTAAAAATTTCATAGAATTTTTAATACTCTAGAGCTTTGAAACAAGGCTTTTAATATCATATTCATACAAACTTTTCTTCATAACATGACCTCAAAAGTCAGCTTTTGTCCGCTAGACAATCAATACTGTTGTACAATTAATAGTATCGCCTCTTTTAGACAATTCGAAACTCTTAATATAGCTTTCAGACGATCAATAATATTGTGCATATTAAATAATATCAAATATGGTCTAATAATATTGATCATAGGGGTCGCTTAAAGTATTGGATAGTACTTCAGTATATATTAATTGACAGTGCAGTATTCAAGATGATCGCGTCCTTAATGCATTGTTCAGCCTCTGTGAACATTTTTAAACATAATAATAAAATCATGGTAATCGTATGTTTAACAAAAAGGTCTTTCTTTTCATTGTGAATTTATTAATATTATATCATCTTTACAGCGCGTCGTAATGTTGTGGAACAATAATCGACTGTTGGGTCTTAAAATGAAGCTGTCAGGATAATAATTGCTATACGTGGTAAATAACAACTCGTTTCAGGATCACAAGCCAAGTCTCCAGCTACACCTGTTCTCTACCCGTTGCAGTTTACATTCTCTAATATTAGGCGGTGGGGAAGTGTCGAAAATATCTGGCAAATGCCGTGATGGTTTATTTTCGATGTACAACCACACACGCACTGCTGATAACATTTACCAGACGTTCGTTTTCGCGAATGTCCTAGATGGGATTTCATCGCTCTATTCATAGCAAGAACAGCGGCGACGCTCCAGATTGGGATTTTTCGCGACGCAAGTCGCGTCTGAGATCAATCCACGAATTGTGTGTGGATTGGGCAACAGGCGCTTGATTGCTAGATGATGCAATATTATAATGAATGCACAATGTGTAAAAAGAGATCTTTGTCGAACGTACGATTACCGTGATTTTATCACCATGTTTCAAAATATTCACAAAGAGGCTGAACAACGGGATATCTGTCGCGGTTTATCTCGCAATTAATTATCAGCAGCCTCTTAGAAGCATATGCCAAATGTTGCGAGCCCGACACATATGTGGCGCATATTGCGCAACGTTGTTTTATGTGTCGTTTTACGCGGCTCGTGTCACGCGTGGGAAAAATACCATCGGATTGACGTGAAAAATGAGGCGCGCGGACACACGTGGCGCGCGTACACGTTCAGACGTTCGTCGAGCGATACCTATAATACGCTCGCTCTCGCGCTGCTGACACGCCATATCTCGCGTAGTTTTACGGCTGCAATGTGTGTACATTCTGACATTTGTTAACAATATTTACTCTCGCGCTGACATGCCATCTCGCATAGCCGCAGGGGCGCGGTGGAAATAACATCGCGATCCGATGCGGAACGGGGCTTGACTCACCGTGGGACGTGTTCCTCTTTCTCCGTGGGAAGAGCGCGGTATCGCTGAATCTCGACGACAGCGAGCTCCGCTTTGTTCGATACATCAGCACCGCGCTGGGATCCCTGTAGATGTGCGCCGCGTGCACGTTGCCGCTGCAGTTCACCTGCATCCTGGAAAAGTCGGAAAGATCGAATCAAGAGTCTCTTTAATATTTCTAAAGTTCTCTTTAGAAGGATCAGGCGGGCCACCCCTGGGGTTTTAAAATGATACCTTATGTTTGAGATTTTTTGTGGGTAAATGGATAACTTCATTTAAAATCTGCTTAGAGGACATTATTGTAGGGGAGTATAGCGTAGTTTTGTCAACTTAAAAAAAAAAATTAACAAAAATTAGCAAAAATTAACACGTCTATTCAGCTCTATGTCTCATCAAAAATGAGCTAATACAATGATAATTTAATGACATAAACGATAACTGTCTAGTGCGACTGCAGCGCTCAAAAAATGTTGACCAAATTACGCTACTTTACCCTACATATATTAAAAAATCAAAAAAATATATTTTTATTTTTTTTAATGTCCAAAATGGTGGTGCACTAGTCTACATTTGCGAAATCCCTTTTTTTTCTATTAATGTACAGAATTCCAGGCACACGGTTTGACCTTGAACAAAAGATTTTCATTATCTACATATTAAAGACTAAAGAAGTACGTAGCGATTTTTCAAAATATTGATTTTTCTCAAAATGGCAGCTATTTTACGAAAGACTTGTATTAACAAAAATACCAACTTTTCGTAAAAATAGCTGCCAATTCGAGAAAAATCGATATTTTAAAAAACCCCCTACGTACTTCTATAGTCTTTAATATGTAGATAATGAAAATTCTTTTGTTCAAGGTCAAACCGTGTGGAATCCTGTACACCGATAGAAAAAAAAAAGGGATTCCGCAAGTGTAGACCAGTGTGTCATTTTGGACATTAAAAAAAAAAAGAAAATTCTTTGTGTTTTGTTCAAGATCAAACGGTGTGCCTAGAATCCTGTACACCGATTTAAAAAAAAACAGAAAAAAGAGATTCCGCAAGTAAATCAGTGCGCCGCCATTTTTTATATATAAAAAAAATTATAAAATATTTTTTTATAGTTTTTTTATAATATGTATGTACAACAATGTCATTTAAACAGCTTTTAAATAAATATCTTTTTACCCACAAAAAATCCCAAACTCAGGTATCACTTTGAGGCCTGACCCCTTAATGCCGGGTCTCGCAATACATACGTTAAATTTTTCAAGTCCATGGTAAAATATATGATCGAGCTGTCGTCCTTCTGTTCTGTTTTGAGATTCGAAACGTTTTGCAGCAAGCATCCATCGAGATGATTGTGCACGTACGGATTAATGGCATCGATGAGCGTTCGACCCAAGCTGAATCCGAACTGCGAAGAGAACAAAAATGCTAATTTTTGGGATTTGCGAATTGTACAAAAACAAATTCTTGCTTTTGTATCAGTCAGTCAGTCGATATGACACTATACGGTATGATATTACAATTGTTTTGACTCGATTTTTTATTTTGCCAAAAAGACAACGTTCTCTATTAGATTGGAATTAAAAAAATCATATAGCTATTTTATAAATTAAGTCCTTATAAAATTGTGAGTAATTATAAGAAAGATTTTTCGCGCAAAGAATGATAACGCCACGATTTACAGGGATTGACTCGTGCTTTCGACAACGCTTTAGACAATAATAATCAATAACGGTATGCACCGCGAAATAAATAGCGAGAGGTGCCATGCGCCAGTTTATGCTCTGTTGCAAGCCTGAACAAGTCATTCACGAGTCTAACAAGGCGATGATACATCCGCATACTCGCGCGCTTATTTATAAATGCGGGTGGCTCTCCTCGTGAGTGCGGAAGACAGAAACAGGTGTCTGTTGCTGCGCGGTGGAGCGACGTATCGCCCTGTTGCAACGTTACTGCCACACAATCGAGACTTAACGGAAAAATAGAGCGAGCTTTAGAATCAAATCTCTCTCTTTTTTTACATTATAAATTACAGCTCGCTAAAAATTTTATTATAGAATAGCGCGGATGATCAGCGGAAAGTTGCTGAAAAATAAACAGTTGTTATTTCGTGACGAATGATCGGAATAAGATGGACGCTATAGAGAAGAAACTTGATATTTTGATTAGCCGAAATGCAAAGGAAATAGCATGTGTAAAAATAAATCAAATCAGACTGATTCGCTTGATTATGCAATCAACCCAGTTTTTTCGAAGGTTTTATGATTCTTTTACAAATTAATAAATCCAAATATATAAATTAACAATATAAAAATCAAGCTCGTCCTTAAAATAACAATAAAATTGTAATAAAATTAGGTCACACTAAACGAGCACTTTCTAACGAGGATGACAGCGTTTATTAATCTTGTAATATAAAATTTAAGAAGCAGTTTCGACTTAACTTACAATTAGTCTTCTTCAGTCGTAAAACCATTAATAAAAGGAAACGCAAGATATAAAGATACTACACTCTAAATGTACTCTAGAAGAAATTTGTCATTTTTATTATCATAATGCAAAAAAAAAAAAGAAACTGTGTGCACTTGTAAAAATAAATGTTATAAACGACCGACAATTGTTAGTTGCAATGATAAATGTTTTCAAAATGATGACCACTTGATTTCGCACAATATAATCACATAATCGAAGGATATTTTTTTAAAGCTATTACGTATTTTCCAATATCAATAATTATTGTTCAATAAATTGTACCTTTGAAAACTTTTTTTTATGGAACTGGCCGCACACGTTATTTCCAAGATTTTTTAAATATATAATATATTAGTGGTATATATATCATTAATCGTGAGTCATGCAATCAACCAAGATTTTTCAATCTTATGACATTTACAAGTTCAAAAATGTATATTCTTTTCGCAGTATGCGCTAATAAAAATAACGTATTCCTCTTCTGAATTTAATTTATTCTATTCATATTTATTCTGTCCATTCGTTACGTAAGTTTATGTAAAGCAGTCGTTCAATCTCTCAGCAACTGTCTGACATTTTCTAAAGAATAACAAGCATTATTCATGTAGTATAATATTTTGAGTATCGTATAAAATTTCACGAAAATGCCTGATTTTCAGGATAAAGAAGAAATTCCCCGTAAATCCCAGATTTCCCAGGTTTTTGCGGATAATAAAAAGGCGTCGCCTTTTCAAATTTCCCAAGAAGGCAATCTCGAATGACTCCGCAGGCGTGCCGAGGAACGCGTGGGTATATGCGATATCGCGGAAATTACAGGTCAATTATTATTAGCGACTCACCACGGCCTTGCTCGCGCTTTCCGGTGTCAGCTTTTTGTCGGCGTCCGCCGGCGCGAACTTGAAGTTCGTGAGATTCACGGTCAGGATGCTGCCCTTGTAGAAGCCGAATGTGCTCAGGGTGATGTAGTGCCTTCCGTCCTTCTGTAATACGAACGTCTCCGTAAGCGAGGATGCGTTACATGCATTCCAGCCGAGAACGGTGAAAGGAAGGGCGAAGGGACCGGAGGGACCGAAAGCTCCGAAAGCGATCGAATTTCTGCGAGCGATGGATCGAGCCGCGCCGACGATCCTCCGAGAGGCTCTCACGGCCTCTTCGCGGTCTGGAAAATTTTTCAGGGACTTGCCGTGACTTCATATACGTTAAATAGCGTAATTCACGAGCGACAGTGCGCGTTGCAATTATCCGGGGATTTCTCTCTTAATTTCAGGGCAACAACGGTTTTCGCCGGTTTTCCGGAAAGAGATCCTCGCGTGTAAGCGCCAGCCGGACGCGTATCTGCGTATCTCTCAAACTGCCGTCTGCAGTTATTAAGTCCGCGGAGTTGATAAGTAAGCCCCGATAACTTTCCTCGTGACGACGTAAAAAGTAACGACGCGCCACGGAATTATCGACGCGCGCGCGACGCGTCGTCGTCGCTGATGCCGTTCGTCTCCCCCACGGTATCCGTGTACCGTGATACATACAACGATATGCGTGTCGCACACATCCTTCGCCAGGACTCTCTATCCCCCATCGCGCGCGACCAATAATCGCCGACTCATCTCGTTAAATAAAGCGACGGACGCGACGAACTCGTGGACGCGCCTCGTCGCGCTCTCCTTTCCCCAAGTCGCGTGACGAACGGGACAATAAAGCCGCGGACGGCGCCGCGGCTGGAAGACTCGCAACCAACCCGTATGTCCAGCTTGTGGATCCTCGCGCTCGTCGCCGCCACCAGCAGCAGAAGCGGCAGGTAAATCGCGCTCGTCCGCATTTTTCTCTCTCTTTCTTTCTCTCGGCTTTTGCTCTCGGCTGCGCCGCCGTCGCCAGTCGTGTGCACGCTCGACCACACCGCACCGGGTGTCACAACTGTCACATCACAAGGGAGGACGGCGCGCGCGTACCGCGTCAGGAGAGTCACCTCCTCACCTTACTCCACCACCGCCAGGCACCAGCGCTCGTCGATACGCGAGCAGAAACTGAGATGCGAGACAGACTGTCACTTGTCCCGGTCCGGCATTCCCCCCCCTCCCCTCCCTCCGCTTCAGGGCTGGCTCTCTAGCACGGCGCGGCGAACTCGGTAGGGAACTCGGATCGGAATCGTCGACGAACACTGGACCGCTGCTGCCGCCTGCCGCTGATACGGTCCGACACTTGAAATGTGAATCGTGGCGATGTTGCGAATTAAGGAATGCGCGCGAATTGGACCGCGTGAGATGTGCAGAATTTCAGGTCTTCGCCCTTGATGCACTGCTGCGTCCGCGCCGTTCGCTGCGGCCGGTCGTCATGCCTCGCATCGCAGCAAAAAAAAAAAGTTGGCATAACGTTCGAACAGCAAATTCTCCATATGACTTCATTAGATTTATTTTCTGAGAAACTGACGGTTTACCGCGCCAAATCCCACAGCCTTTTCCTATTCTTTCCAGTAGATTTCGTTTAACATATTTTTTATTCTTTTTCTTTCATATGGGCTCTCCTCCGATCCCTGCAGTTCTGCCCTGAAGTTCGCTCGATTGTACGGTGAGATATTCGCCCGTTTCGTGACAACTGTAACAAGGTTGGACGCGATGACGCCCGATCGCTCGATGTGACAGGATTCAACAGGGCCGCACTTATAAAATTTGCGCCCAGGAATTTGCCATCGAGCGCTCCAATCTAGCTCCTCTCTAATAAATAAAAATAAGCAATAATTAAATAATTAATTAACATTTTTAATATCTCTTAAACTGAAACGCGTTTAGAAACGAGGGACAAATAATTAAAATTTAGAACATTTTTTTTATAAAGTCACTTTGCAGCTCTTTCCTTCAAAAATATTTCTATTCTTTTGTGGCGCCTCAGTGGCGCTTCGGCGCCCCAAGGCCTTTTATGGGTAAATACGCTACTGCCCGTGGCTTCTGCTCGGCAGGCTCGGCTTTACGTCGTCGGCATTCGGATTGAGGCCACGTTCCCGTTTCACGCATGATCCGCATGACGTATCATTTTATCCTTGTTTAACATTCAGCGAGCAACAAGGATAAAATAATCTTGCGCGAGGCGGAACGCAGCCAAGGATTTCAACCCATCACGTATTCCGCAGTACGCCTTTCTGATAGGTTAAATTCCTATTCCTCGTTCCGTTCTCCAGCTCCAGTCCCTTCGTCGCGTGGCAACGACTGGCTGTTTTCAGTGTTTTTTTTCTGCCTGGGAGTCGTTCGTTTCGTGCAAAAATGGGCCTGATTTCATCAAAATCGTAGGGTAAGTGGAGCTAATAGAATAATTACCAAATCCATTTAAGGAAACTGAAGAGACGCGGGCGCAATTCAATGATCGGGGGAGCTTAATCGGTTAATGTTTTCATTGACAACTCGAGGCGAGCGGATGATGACACGTGTTTTGAACATGATCATCGTCCAAAGTGGGTTCGGGACGCTTAAAGTTTTTATAGCAAAGTCACACCGCGGTTACAACGTCGGCTCGCGCTTCAGTTACGTTTCGAGTCCGCCGCAGTTGAGAGAACCCTCGTTACACTCCGTTCTTTCCTCGCTCATTATTTGTATGCCGATTACACGCTGTGATAGTCGATCGTGCTGATTTAAGCTGATTCTCCGAGTTGCAATCATTTACGAGTATATCAAAGGTAAACGAACGTTAGATTAAAATCTTTTGGACGAAAGAATCACGCGGAATGCTCGATTTGCGCGGGACAGAGCACATTGTCAACATGTTGACCGTTACTACGGTTTGTAGGTTATCTTTATTAACGTACTTTTGCAGATCTCTTGGATCCTTGAAATTATGCCACAAGAAAAGGATAATTCCCACGGCAATAAGAAAAAAGCGGAAACTAGGAAGGAGACTCGCTCAGACAATACTACAGAAGCCGTTCACTCATCTTGCTCATCTCAGACTGAAGATAATGGAACTGTGTGAGTTCTTTATGATTACAACAATTTGTTGCTTGATAAAATCAAATCAAACAGTTGCGAAATATTCGGGGATGCAGAAGAATCCTTTTTTTTTTTTAGTATTAGGCATTGTAGTAGCAATCTCGCTAATTTCCTTTTGTAGATATCTGTTTTTTTTGTGCCATATTATTTAATTATCTCGCTCTTATCAGTCTTATATGTCGCAATAAATCATTAATATTGAGTAAATCCTCAAAGCACGTGAAAGAAGCTTTGTTACATTAATCGCATCAAACTTTAAATTTCTTTATTAAATGAATTTAAATTTTCTTTGTCAAATTTCGTATAGAGAGCTAATGAGGTAAAAATAATTAAATTGAAATTAGAATTAAGGGTTATGAATATAATTCAAATTTTATCTCGATAGAGAGCTAATGAGTTATTTTTGCAAATTAAATTATATTATGACATCATATGACTGTTAAGTTGTCTATTCAATATGTTTGACATTATATATATTCTAATATTAATTTAATATTGTCTTATCTAACAGGCGTGTCGACCTCTTAATACCGATCATCACCAGTGTTATAATTAAATATTATAACACAAATTATAATTGTTTATACTCCCTCGTTATTATCTGGTTAACCCACAGTAGGGTTTCCTGTTATCCGGTTTCCTTGCATCGGTTGTTTGTGTGGGGGGACCACCAATGTATAATTTATTGTAATTTTTTTATTTTCCTTGTTCTTTTGTTACAAACTTATTCTTTGAATTTGTAAAAAAAAAATTAAAATTCTTCGAGTCATGTTGGTAAATGTGTGATTTAACTGTGACAGCGACTTTTTTCCTTCTATATTTTCAATATCAGAAACCACTGATGATGATCGACGAAGAGGTTGAAACGTATTGTCCGAGATAAGACAATATTGTTATTAGAATACTAATATCAAACATATCAAGTAGACAACTTAACAGTCACATTTATACGATGTCATAATATAATATAATTTATAAAAATACTTAGCACTTTATTAGCTCCCTATCTATATAAAATTTAAATTATATTCATAAGAGCCTTAATTTAAATTTAAATTTAATTAATGAAAATTAAAATTTAATTTTGTTATTTAATTCTTAATTATTATTTTAATTTACTGTTAATTGAAGCCGTAAAATATAAGTGAATGTAAAGCTGAATTTAATTTGAACGTGGCATGTGCAGTCAATATCAACAGTCAATTTTTACGATGTAATGCTAAAATTAAATAATTGAATTAAATATTTAGTAAAATATTATTTGCAGCATGAGTATTGAAGAATCACTCACTGTGATAACTACGGCAATAGAAGATGATGATGCTGGGAGATGGGAACCTATGGAAGTTGATTGTTCTGCCTCGTCGAGTGAAAATACAGAGTACAGCAAACTGCCAGTGATGCTTAGAAAGGAATTTGCAAGTCTGGGAACACAAACTGAACCTACGCGTGTGCCAATACAGAGAAGGGCTCTCCGTACGAGGTTTATCACTAAAGACCACGCATTCCAATCTGTTTCGTCCACCAACTCCGCCGTGCCTTCGTCTAATAAACGTGGTGCGGAAAACCGCGACGCGCGTCCACAAGATTACAAGATGAACTACTTCAAACCTGTCGTGTTTCTGCTGCTGTCGGCAATGTCTGTAATTTTTATTTCTATTCTTTTACACGAGAACCAGCAGATTCGCAGGCACAGCACGGATTTTGCAAACGCCGTTGTCGAACTGAAACAACGGATTTACGGCCATGAGGAAGCCGTGAACGATTTGTGCGACTTTCTTACGCATGACACGCCTTCCATGAAAGTGATTGCCCTCGTTGGTGGTACAGGTGTCGGCAAGTCATATACCGTCGACATAATAAGGAGAAATTTCTCGAGGCACTACGCTATCCGTACGTATTACCGGCCAATTAAGAACATCTGGGAGATCAACCTTCCTTTGCTGTACCCAAATCTAATCGTCCTGGAGAACCTGAGGGAGCACGATTTGAACGATGTCACACACTTTCTGTACACACGCCGAAAGGAATATAAGGATCGTCTCATGACCATACTGGCCGTTTTCAATTTCGATCAGATGGAGGACGGTTGTTTGCAACAGGGACGCGACGACTTCGGCGATGCGTTCAAAATACGAAACCGTATCCTCGGAATTGGACTACCTGAGAATAACCTTAAAATTATTTCCTACGAGCCTTTGAGCAAGGACGCCTTGAAGATGTGCATTGCGGACGCGATAGAAAAGAGTAAGCTAGTAATCCGTGAAAGTCAGTTCGATAATATTCTCAATATTCTGATAAGAAACAAGGCCGGTTGTAAAGGGGCCTACAGGCAGGTTCAATTGATCAGAGAAAAAAAGGTACATTAATCATTTTATTTATTTTAAATGTCACAAAATTAAATCTTTAAATTATATTAAATATTTTCATCTTAGAAGAGACGGGTCTCTTTTCAATTATATCTAATCTATGCCTTAATTTGCAGCGATTATTATGTATTATTTAAATTACGGACAAATCAAAGTTATTTTGTACTTATGACTTAAAAAAAAAGAAGGGACAATTAATTGATTATGTAGGAACTTTAGATGACTTTTTTTAAAAGTTAAGACATGTATAATACATTTATAATAATAGTATTATCATGAAGATAAGCAAATTTTTCCGGGTTTCTATTGCATCGATTGTTCATGAAATATTGTACAATTCGGTTATTAATATAAATGTCTCGTTGGTGGCACAGACGCCGGCAAATCATATACAATCGACATAAAAGGGAGAATTAATAATGTCAAACACGTCCATTAGATAAAGTCGGATTATGAAAGTATAGGTATAGTTAATATTGTTATTTGATATCACTCCAAGGAGTGTTATTTATAAATTTACAGATTAAAAATTCGTCGTTGTAGACGCGATTATTGTAAGTATGCGTCTACAGCGACTTTAGTGCTAATAAAATCAATGTATACGTTGCCCATTAATATATCGTCGTTACTACAAACAATTTTTGTAAATTCAAACTTGTTGAACTTATCTACTGTATGAGTTCGTCTGGATACCTATCGTATTTCTTTTTCATGTAAATTGCAAACATTCAAAAACATAAGTCGATTGCTTATGTAAATGTTTATGATTGAAGGGACACTTATCTGATGTTAGTCTTTTTTATATTAAAAAAATTAAATATTTAAATATTTTAGTGAAATGGGTATTTCTCTAAATTATTTAAATATTTAATATTTTATATATACCTACATATAAGACCGGCATCAGATGAGTGTCCCTTCAATCACCAAATGTTTACATAAGCAATTGACTTTTGTTTTTGAATATGTTTACATATTTCATGAAAAATTAATGCAACAGATATCCGGATAAACGATGATCTTTATTATGAATTACAATTTTATCAGGAAATAATGAAAAATTTAAACGAGTTTGGAGCCACGAACGTTGTCTGTAGTAGTGATAGTAATTTAAATGGGAATGTTTACGTAGACTTTGTTTACACCAAGGCAGCTGTAGATGCTTATTTATATTACAAAAACCGCGTTTACGAAAACAGAGCTTTAATTTGTAAATTTTTATGGAAGCATTTCTTGGAATGATATTAAATGCAATGAAAATATTAACTGCAGTATACGATTTGCCGACGCCTGTACCACCAACGAAAGCTATTACTTTCATGATGTGTCACGTGTAAGATATTCACACAGATTGTTCATGGTTTTCAGCAATTATTAAAAATACGAGCGGAGATGATTTTTTTTAAAGATTAAGATAACACATTTATAATTAAATGTATAACACTTGTATAACACATTTATAATTAAATGTATATTAAACAAGTTTTAATTAAAAAAAAATTATCTCCGCCATGCCTTTAATCTAATGGATTGCTGAAAGTCATGAACGATGAGAACGATCTGTATGAGTATCTTATAGGTGATGTCTTCCATGAAGGTGATAGCCCTCAACGGTGGCACGGACGTTGGCAGATCGTCGACGTCATAAGGAAGAATTTCCTGAAGCAATATGCTATTATAATTATAAATGTATTATACATATCTTAACCTTTAAAATGTATTATACATATCTTAACCTTTAAAAAAATCATTTTAAGTTGCTATATAATCAATTAATCAAAACAAGTTAAACAAATTAAGTTTGGAAATAAAGTAGATTGATTATTTTATTTATTTTAAATATTACAAAATTAAATGTCCTGAATTTATATTAAATATTTTGATCTTAGAATAGACGCATTTTTTTCAGAGATCTTGCCACTTGTAGTCTTTGAAATTATATTTGACTCAATCTGTGTCTTAATTTGTAGCAATTATTATGTATTATTTAGATGATGATACACTTTTAACGCTTTCACTTATCTACTTCTTCGCTCGAAAATTTGTATTTACAGAAATATCATATCTTACTACGTTATAATTATATTACGATTTGCTATTGAGATCTACACTACTTGTGATTTTGATTTTGATTCTCTTGTTAGAGGATCAAAAGATTCTCAAACACAGCACCGATTTTGCGAACACCGTCGTTGAGTTGAAGAAATGAATTCATGGTCATGGAAGAATTGTGCAATATTATAATATTATAATAATAAATTATTATAATATTATATTGTACAATTCTTCGTGGTCAGGAATGCATTTTGTTAATTCAACCGCGCTCCCAAAATCTGTACTATGTTTGCGAATCTGCTGATTCTTGTATAAGAGATCACAAGTATTATACGAGCAGATTACAATAGCAAATTGTAATAATATAATATTATAGTAACATATAATATTTCTGTAAATATAAACATTCTCGAGCGAAGAAATAGAAGATAAATGAGTAAAAGCGTTAAAAGTGTAATTGCTAGTAGTTCTGATGCGAAACACTACCCTGTATAGTTAGTAATTCAGATGTTGCAAGCTCGACCGACGGACGTGGAAGTGAATTAAATATTTTGCAAACGAACTTTGTACACATTAGCATTCGCCAGTTACTTTTCCAATATGCGAGATTATTTAATCATCAAGATTCGATCTTAATCTTTGTTATAGTCCATCTCATATCCGTATAATCTTCGGTATAGTTCATTCCGAAACTGAATAGAGGTCAGACGCTTCGGAAATTAAGAAGGAGAAGCATTCCGATAGTATTTCAAAGAAAGTCATCTACTCCATCCGAGACCCGAACAGAGGTCAAACACCTCGCCCTCTGAAACTATGAAGGAGAAACATTCCGACAGTACTTCGAAGGTAGTCGTCCGCTCGTCCAAGACCGAACAGAAGTCAGACATCTCATCCTTTAAAAATATATGGTGGGATGCTTGCAAAGTGCCTCGAATAAAGTCTCGTTCTAGACCAGACGGATGACGGATGACAACATCAGCGACCACAGAAATGCCTCCGAAACTACCCACAGAAGTGCGTGCGAAACTGGATAGTTCGAACACTTCTGTGGGTAGGCTCGGAGACACTTGTGTGAGTAGGTCCAAAGGCATTTCTGTGGATGCTGATGTTGACTTCATCCGTTTGTTCTGGAGCGAAACTTCATTCGAGGCAAGGAAACATTCCACTATATTTTGATGGACCAGGTATTGGACTTCTCTTCCAGAGATAAGTGAACGGCTTCCGAAACTATCCATAGAATTACGTTCTGAAACTGGGTAGTTTCGGAAGGCACTTTTGTAGGTAGTTTTGGAAATCATCCGCTCATCTAAAACTGGAAGAAAAGTCCTATATCTGGTTCTTCAATATATACTTCTGCGGGTAAGCCAAAGACAATTCTGTGGACGCGGATGTTGACTTCACCCATCTGGTCTGGAGCGAGACTTCATTCGAGGCAGGGAAACATTCCACCATATTTTTAGACGAGGCGTCTGACTTTTATTTAATTGCAGCGTTACATCTTATAGTGAAGTATAAATACTTCATTGTGTTGCATGGTCTGATTTTCGTTTGGAACAATTGGATCCAAAGTATACTTATATATTTATATATTAAAATGTATTTATACTTACAGAAAGTATATACTCGCTCGGTAGGAACCACCTGTTAAAATTATCTAAGAATTATCTTTTAAGATTATCACAATATTGTAATCGAGAGTTACGTACATAGAGAAAAGATACGCGCTGTGTCAGGCAATTTGTTACTTCAATCACGTTTTCGCTCAGATTAGTTAAATTGTCGGTCGATCCTCTTCGTCGAGTTTTCATCGCAGGGCGTAATTTCGATAATTTATGGAAAGAGATTGGAGCGGTTCCAATTTCATCGGTGAAAGCCAGCTTGGACGCAAATATGATGTTCACGGTCCGTCGCGTCGGCTCGGACGCACGATGAAATGATTTTCGTATGCATCACTTCCGGATATCGAAGACGAGCGGTGATTTTCGTGGGTGATGATGTGCGCTATCGTATCGCTTGCGTCCGGTGAAACGCGTAATCGGCACGCGGTTAAGCGAACGTACGTGGATTAAGGCTTGCGGTATACATGTAATAACGCGGACTCTGAAGCTTTCTTTCAGTAATCGTATTTAGACTCCTAACGATTTGTAAGCGAGTAACCAACCGTGATTTTGCGTACGTTAAATAACGACACGTTATGCCCGAACTGTAAACGTTACGCCGTTACCACCGATCGCTCTTATGCAATCGAAAAGTCGCTCGATTGTATTTCGTTTTTCCTCATTCCCCCTTAGCAATAAGTAATTATTTCTAAGTAAGCATATAAGTGAAATGTTTTCCAAGAGGTGAAAGAAGGAATATCTGTGTGCTGAATTACATCGTTCTGTAGCTATAAGTTTAGCTATAAATATTCTGTAGGAATAAGTTGTGAAAGAATTAAGTGCCAAATCTTGAAAGAAAGACTACTAAGACAATATTTTAAGCGTTACAAAATTAAATGTCCTCAATTTATATTAAATATTATGATCTTAGGATAGACGCGTTTTTTCAAAGATCTTGCCACTTGTATTTTTTGAAATTATATTTGACTCAATCTATGTCTTAATTTGTAGCAGTTATTATTATGTACTATTTAGATTACGGACAAATCAAAGTTGTTATTTTATTCTTATGACTTTAAAAAAAAGGAAATGATTGATTGTGTAGCAACTTAAAATGATGATTTTTGTAAAGGTTAAAACACATATCATACATTTATAATGTTATATTTTGTGATATAAATAATATTATATAATATGATAATTATAGTAATATTAAATAGTATATTATAATAATACGTTATTATAATATAATATTGTATAATTATCATGTTATTACAAATGTTATAATATTAGAACGTAATAAGATGTAATATTTCTGTAAATACACATTTTCGAGCGAAGAAGTAGAGGATAGATGAGTGAAAGCGTTGAAAGTGTAATTGCTAGTAATTCTAGCGCGAGACACTACCCCATATAGTTAGTAATTCAGATGTTGCAAGCTGCGGTCGACTGACGGACGCGGAAGTGAATTGAATATTTTGTAAACGAACTTTGTACACATTAGCATTTACCAGTTACTTTTTCCAATATACACGAGATTATTTAATCGTCAAGATTCGATCTTAATCTTCGTTATAGTCCACCTGTTTCCCTCCCTTAATTAAGCCATTATGTGATCTCCTTGTGACGCAACTTAAAAAAAGGCGGATCAATCGATGTTAGAATTTTTGCTTCGTGACGTTACGTCTGGCAGGACAAAAAAAGAAAGAAAAAAGGTATCTCTCATTCGCCTCTTACGTGCACCGATGAAGATGTGACGCAACTAGTCAGAAGTTACGTTCGTCCTGTAACACGCAAAGACTATATGTGTATTACATCGCGGCACTTACAATTCGCCCCCTTTTACCTCCGCGAATGTCCCGCGACGGGAAATAGAAAGTTCATGTATGTATATGTTCACGAAAACGTATGATTAGTTTATTATATAGCGATCCCTGTCGCTCTCCCCCTCTCCTTCCCTCCTCCCGCCCCCCTTAACCCCTGAAGAAATCGCGAAACTGAAGATCCCGCGAAACGTTTCCTGTCTATATCGGAACGGAACCTACTTGCTTGACTCGCCCCTTTTTAACGATTCGCCAAGATTAGCGACACTGCAGACATCCTCTTGCACGCCATCGCACGTGACTACCTCGGTCGCCGTTAAGTAAGCTGCTGCAGGGGTGTCGCCGAAGATGAAACGCGAATGCGACCCGACAATTTTCAGCTTGATTGACCGAACGTCATTTCTCACATCCGTTTTGATGACACCGGATAGTATAATAGTTGCTTCCCCCCCAGACTTGAGAATGTGTTCTATGCAATGACGAATTATCGAATTAACAACCTAAACAATACAGAATCCAAAATGTACGTGGACGTAAATCGTCTTAAAAGACGACGCTCCAGAAGACGCGGCGTCTTAAAAACGTCTCATGTCCTAATTTTAAAATTAAACTTCGTCTGGGTGAACAAAGTGTCAGGATATCTTGCTACGTGGAGACAATAAGATTGCGTTCTCTTCGAGCGTGATCATCACCTCTGCCTCAATTGTACACAGAAAGAACGATTTTGTTGAAAGGTCTAAAAATTTTGCTGAAAACAGATCTGAAAATAATTTTTTGTTGATTCATCAAAATAATTTCTTGGAATGTTAAAACTGATAGACATTGTTATAAAACGTTTTGATATTATAGCAATCGCTTTGACTTTCGCACAAAATTATTTTGATTATTGAGCAAAAATTATTTTTAGATCTGGATTCAGCAAAATTGTTTTTTTCTTGTACGACATCAAATTTTATCTTCACGCAATTGACAGATTCATTTTTTTTTTAAGCCGTTCCAGTTCTTATTCTGCGTTCTGCAATTAACATTTTCCCAGCATATCAGCGAGCAACCTTATTAATCGTTCACGGAAAGAACAATTTTGCTGAATCCAGATCTGAAAATAATTTTTGTTCAATAATCAAAATAATTTTGTGCGAAAGTCAAAATGATTGCTAGAATATCAAAACGTTTTATAGCAATGCTTATCAGTTTTAACATTCCAACAAATTATTTCGATGATGTAATAAAAAATTATTTTCAGATCTGTTTTTGACAAAATGTTTAGATCTTTCAACAAAATCGTCGTTCTTTCCGTGTACATTTAATATACTCAATACATTTGGTATAGCTGTTTACCAGACTTTTCTCAGTGTTCAAAAATATGCAATTAGATCAGGTACTCTGCAAAATGCAAGATATTTTTTGCGATCAGATTCACCTTCGTTTAACCGGTCGAACCAGCCGGGAAGTATGTCGACGGCCGAGAAGACGATCATCGACCGGAACCGGATCGAAACGTACATATACAGCGGCCGCGGGGGTCATTACGAAACTGATAGTACCGCCGCAGTCTGTGGACTCACGCTATTTACGCATCTATAAAAGAGAATAGAAGAGCGGCGATCTAGCGCAGTCCACGAGTTCACCTTCGACGGAGCTTTTACGGGAAAGTCGGATTTACGGAGCGTTCGATTCGCGCTCCGTCGCGTCGCCGCATCAGAAACAAAGGCGAGGACACCTAGCTTGTACCCCCGAAGGATTCGCGGTGGCTCCGCGAGGACACGCTCGTTCGCGATTGGAAAAAAAAAAGAGCCGGTGTGGAAGGAAGGGCGATCGGGCTGGAAATTATAAAAGAGCGATCGACCAGCGGGAGTGGGGCAGTCGCTTCCAAGTGTGCACCTGGGGCACTACGGATCGGAGTACGTTCACATAATCGTATAGGATACCTCTCTAGGATAGTGCTTAAGACATAGATCCCCGCCGCCCGCTTCGGTTTCGCGCGGTTCCTCGACAAGCAGATTGAGTAAGCGTGAAAGTAGGACTTAAAAATTATAATTTACATAATATTTACTAAGCGCAACCAGACAACACAAAGTCTAAAATCGATGCATAACACGTCTTTTAGTCATCTTTTAAACATTTTTTCGATAGTTCTCGCAGAAGTGTCTAAAAGACATTTCAAAGATGTCTAAAAGTCGTCTTATGCGTCAATTTTAGACTTCGTGCTGTCTGGGCATATATTTACTCTTGTGTCTGGTCCTTTGTCTGGGGAGATTGCCTATTTTTTCCCTGTAGATGTTAAACGAAATTACAATTGCTTCGGTACTTTTTAACACTTCACAAATGCGAATAATAATGAAAAAAATTTTGAGAAATTAAGCTAAAAATAGACAAGATTTTCATCTTTATCCGCTTCATTAGATCTTGATACGCTTTAGCATAATTATAATCAAGACAATTAACGCATGATATTCTGTTCTAAAGATTCAAGATTAAATTCAAAACATTAATAAAGATTTCTAATTAAAAATACATAATTCATATAATAATTAATTCTTTTGCATGATATTTTAATTTCGTATTTATAACGTGTTATGTAAAATGCATTTCAAAGCCTTAGAAAAAAAATCTATTAGATTTAACTAAATTCACAACATAAAATTTAGTTAATTGAATATACTGCAAACATTGTTTCACAATTAAAGAAGAACTTTGGCTGTCTTTATTTGAAAAATATATTAAATATTATCAACTTTTTATTTAATTGTAAATTATTAAAGAGAACAATAAAAATTGAAATATAATATTGGAATATAAAGTACACGCGGGGTAATTACGTTCAAAAAAATTATGCGAGTAATGTGACTATAATGTGTAAATGTAATTTTTACTAAATTACAAATTTGTTATTACTTTTCGACAAGTGGAGCTTTTCTTTCATTGAAATTAAAGGATGGCTAAATCGCTTGAAATAATCAGTATTAATATTTTAGCCATGTAAATCGCGAATCACATCGCGCGAAAGGGTTGAAAGTCATAATTATCAACGTCAACGACGTAATGACATTGTCCGTGACGTCAGCGTTAGACTTTCCAATCACGTTCGCCGGAATAATTTGTCGAATCGATTAACGTCGCGCGAATTTCAATCGCGCGACGATCTTCGGAGCGGCTTGTCTCGTCCTTGGTCGTAAAGGCCGAGACGTTATACTAAAGGTCGGGAATATGGAACGCGAAATGCGAATCGTCATTGGCGCGTTTTCCGACAAATTGGCGAATTCGACGGAATTAATTCGGACATCGGAAAGAGAGCGCGAGATCGGCGCAAGAACACTCGGCATCTCGTTCGTCGTGTACGGATCACAAGAGAGTTAACTGATCGTAATCTCCGTGACATAATCGTCGTAATACACGAGAGCAAGCATAAGCGGTTACATGATCATATCGCGCGCCGTAATAAGCGGTAAAATCTCTTCTCGTCAAGCGGGATGAAAAACGAAAGGCTGGACACCGCGGCGTGATGCAATCGACGTAACGTATTCTCGCGCGAAGAAGAAGAAAAAAAGCTCTTACGCGCGCGACCGACGACGCTCGCGAGATGAAAGCTCAGCCGCGGGTATTATATAGCGACTCCGTAAGTGCAGGCACTTTCTACGCGGAAGAAGACGGTGTATACCCTTAACCGGCTCCATCATAATCACAGGCACGGCCTGGCTTTTGTGCGTGTGCTGTCGCGATTACGTTTCGATCGATCGTATAATAAAACGAACACGGTAGTACGCAACCGATATGGCAGTAAAAGATATACGGCAATTCGATGATTGCTACTTTTCCCTTTTTTTTTTTCCTATTAACAGTTCTCTTGAAATCCAATGCGTATCGCTTGTATTATAGATATGATCACGTGTTTGCGCACCGGCGAAGCTTTTTATCTCTTCAACTCGATTCTACGAACGGTGACATAACTTTGCGGATATTACGTACTCTTTACGTTAAAGACTTTTTGTGGGTCCTGCACGTTACGTTCGCGATACGTAAAGCCGCGATATTGCAACAGAGTTATACAACCCTAATTGCCCTCGCTCTGATATGCGGAGGTGCTTGATTGGAGCGTGGTAGAAAGGAGAGCGTCACGAGAGAACGGGCAATGTATTTCTTTCAATAATAAATCTATTTTAGACGGGAGAAAGCGAACAGTCAAACCCATTGTAAAACGGTTCTCGCTACACAAAACACAGACAGCGTTCCAATTTCTTGCATAGCGATGCCTCTCAACTCTCCAACTTCTTCGACTCGCTTCGCGTCGCGAGCTGAGAATCGGGCTGTCAATTTATGTTGCAATAAACGTTGCCCGAAACGATTCGGCAACCCAGGCAGAACAGATTGGTCCATAAATTCGTCGATTTATAGACATCAATTTGATATCGATTCGTCTATAGACATCGACATCTATGGATGAATCTGCTCTGCCTGCAGGGAATTGTGAGGCATGGAAATGGTGAAGTAGCGTTGACGAGATGAGTAATGACGCATCTCCCGGCAGTCGACGACGGTTTGTTTCGGCGTGAACAAAGATGGGTTAACAACCGAACACTTGCGTAATCGGAGAAAGCGATTGCGAAACGGGCCGGTGCACAGCTCCGGCGCCCCGGCTCAAAACACGTGGCCCGAGCGCGATGGTACCGCGCTAATCGTTATGTCACAGCTACTGACGAAAGGCCCGAGAATTCCTATTCGATCGGCCGGCCGATCTCTTCTCGAACGTGAAGTGAAAGAGGCGGGCGCCTTTCTTCCTGACGCAGCTCCGCCGCGTGGCCGCCGCGACTTTGAACGGAAACTGTGTCAGCCGGTCAGCAAACGGTATCGTCTGGCGATTCGGAAGAAAGTGAAAACGCACGCCTCGTCGCGCGCGCGCGCGCGCTTGCATAATTAAAATCGAAGATTATTACGAGAAGGTAGTAAACAGAATCGATTCAGAACAAGTTTACGCTGAACACGTAATAATGATACGCTGTAAAATTCTGAAAGAGGAATCGTTATATCGTATACGTTTTATTAAGAAATGCAATATACACACAAAAATAAATGTATCCAGAAAATTCAAAATTTTACATTTCTTTAATTAAATAGATATTTTTTCCTCACACGAAGAAAAAATATCTACCTAATTAATAATTAGATAGATTAATATCTATCTATCTTTCGTTTTCAGCATGTAGCTTATTTTTTTCGAAATCATCGTTATTTACTAGAAAAAAAAAATACGGCGGGGAAAAGATGTATAACTCGAAAATCGATTTTAGAACTTCCGCAGGAAAAATATAAAAATGTCACTGTTTCCAGGTCTCTGTAAGTTTAAATAAGTCGCTTTTGACGTCTTTCGAACAAAGGCAAGATGGGAGCAGTCGAATGGGCAACCGACGAGGACAATTACGAGTGCACCCTCTCGGCGGAGACGCAGAAGATAGCGAAGGAGGAGCTCAGAGAGGACAAGAACACCAGGGACCAGGCTCTCGAGCAGATGCGCAATTGGATCAAGATGAATCCGCGCATTCAGAATAGCCGTCTCGGTGAGGCTACTATCATCATGATGATTAGATGGCAATCAACGCGAATATTAGCGTAAAGATAAATTATGTGGCCTCGCCAATTTACGACGAAAGACGTGACATTGTGAAAAACGCAGCAATTTAAGTAGCATGTTTAAACTCTCTCTCTCTTTGGTTACTTTAAGATTAAGTAATTAAGTGCGTAAGTGGCCGTTTCGCGATTTTGTAAGATTCTTGATGGATTTGCCGCGTAGAAATTCTAATGGGCAGCCTCGAGCCTGCAATTGCACACGGTATGTATCGATAATTGAACGCTTGGCTAATTCGCCATCTTTTATTAGATGCACGATTCTTACTAAAATTCTTGCGATGCAAAAAATTCAATGTCCCGATGGCCCAGGAGGCCACTGAAAGATACCTGCTGCTCCGTCAGGTGTATCATGTAGCGTTCCACAAACTGGACATCACGGAGCCGAACATGGAGGAGTTACTGTCATTGGGGTGAGTACTTTTTTGAGATTAGCCCGTTAGCGCGCTGCAACTCCGTTCGCGATCTCTTCTTTTATAGATATCTCTTCGCTGCGCCTGGCCGCGATGCGAAAGGCCGTCGTGTTATAATCGCTAGACCAGGTACATTATATATTATACAGGTTACTTTATGTATAGGCATGCGCTTGAATATTATTATATGGACCTAACAAAAGTTAGTGTACACTTTGAAGTAGAATCACAAAATTTTGCGTGGTCTCCGCTAAGTTGTTTGTTTCAACAGAATAGTCGTTATTTACATTGAGAGAAAAGATATACTAATGGTAACAAAAACAGAGAATTATTCACAAAAGTCAAGTTTTATTCTAAAATTTTGTTAAAATAGCAAAATATATAATTAAATAAGCAAAATTTGGTATAATTTTTGATTTAACAACACAATTTTATTTGGTTACTCACATTTTGTACACAATAATATAAAATTGGGTTGCAATTACAAAATAAGTTTTCTTTTAGTAAGTTCAACAAAATAATGTAATTATTTTGGTAATTTTATTCAATAAATTCAACGAATTAATATCGACGTGTTAGTTTAGTTGGTCACATATCAACACATAGTTTTGGTATCAGTAACAAAATTTTGGTTGTTCATACTAAACTTTTCTCTCAGTGTACAGAGCGTACAGTTATTTTGCAAAAGAGTAAAAATCGTTAAAAAGTATCTTATAATGAAGATATTCTACTCATATTTCTGTTTTACGAAAGATACCTGGGTCTAAACGTAATAATTTTCGGCGTTTCTCTTCACGTCGCGTTCGCTTCACTTACTAATCGTTCGTAAACACACGCAATTTCCGCCCAAGGCGTATTTGATCCTCACAAATACACGAACGTGGACATGTGCAAGATCCACGCCATCACCTACGAGGCGCTGATGGAGGACGAGGAGAATCAAGTGCGCGGCTTCGTGCATTTCGCCGACGGTGCCGGCGTCAGTTTCCCGCATCTGACGCTTTTCACTCCCAAAGAGGCAGTGCGCATCGTGAAAAATGGCGAGGTAAGATCAAATATATGCTGCGTAATCCACGAATGTATGAGACAGGCAGAAGATTAACGGGTGAAATTAAATTTTTCGATGTAAATTGACTATATATATACTAATAACAGGGAGCATCCTTTAATCCAAACCTATTAACCTATTCTAATTCTTCTCTTTACTTGCGAGCTCTCTAATGGGAGAGCTATTAACTATTGCAAATTTACTCAAACGTTTTAAAATCAAATATAAACCTTTGAACGTTTACGTAATGATTTTTTGTGATATTTAATTTGTTATTTTTAAATCTCGTGTGAGATTCTTCATAAATATTTGCCTCATTTAATTCTACTTATGCTAAAGTATTTTATTATACAAATTTATGCCTCTTTTATCTTTGCTGTATATATTGTCTAAACGACAAGCTATTACGTTTGAAATTTCCATAAGAGCGTTTCATTCCCATCGATTCAGCTGCGAGTCTGGACCAAGGACGATGTCACGTAACAAAATTTCATAACGTTTCTCAAAACATAAGACATAAAAGCCGGCTTTTCAATTTCATGTCTTTTGCCTATTACGGAATCGACTTAAAAGAGCTATTTGAAAAGACTAATTAAGAAAATTAATTATTTAAGAAAATCTATTTAAAAAAGGGTTTATTAAGAAAAATGGGGGGAATTATGAAGGATAGAAATATATTTCTAATAAATTATTTTAAGCGTGATTTCTTAATTCTGTTTACTGTCTAAACAATAAGTTATAGAAATATGTATATTTACGTTCGCATAAACATTTTATTGTTTAAATTACATAAACTTTTTAAAGAAAACTAAAGGTTCTTTAGAAACAGATGTAAAAAAAACTTACTAAATCAAATCAAAATATTGGCTATTTTCCGCGATGCTAATTAACTCTTGTTGTACATCGTGCGTAATTTGTATATCGAGCAGTTACCATTATGTTACGTATCTGTGTATTTCATTAGTTCAATTAGTGCAAAAATTGATAAGTAAGGGTAATTTTATCTTTGTTAGAAACGAATTTAATATTGATCGATTCGAGAAACGTGTACGAAACAGTTTATTTATCTTTTATTACAAATATTGTTCCGCTATTACAGATTTCCTGTTTATAGTAATGTCCGCAAATGAAATTACTGAATTAATTAGATATCATCTTAAACTACTTCTTATGAATGATAATCACAAATGATAAACTAGAAATTTATAGTATATAATTCGTAGTAATTTATATTTATTATCATTGTTTGTGCACATGATAAGCACAAAAACTCACTGACGCAACAAAACTCAACATCAGCTGAGCTGTGAAACTTAATGAAGTGCTTGTCGCACTTGTACGCGAACGTATAATCGTGACGCTGAATAATCATTATTTGTTTGAAGCAATGTTGTATCTGAAAACTCATGTAAATTTTAAGATGAACATAGTTTCTTATCTATTAAATATGAATTTGTCGAGAATGTTATTTGCATGTATATAATCAGACTTCAAAGTCTTGAATTATTTATATATGAACATTAAGCAGCATATAAATATAAATTGAGATTTCAAATTTTATTTTAATTTATAATATTTTATAGAATCTATTTACTTACTTATTATTCTACATTGAACTATAATTAATAACGATAGGTAACTAATTATTGGTAACTAATTATTAAGAATCAACACCGTTGTTGGCGCGAAAAATTCTTATTAAATGATCCCAATTTACATCGGTCTTGAACCTTTCGACCTAATTCGGGCCATCTTCAGCAAATCTCAAATCCAATATACAGAAGAAATCCGCTAATATTCATCGCTTATTTTGTCTCATATGAGTCTCCTCGAATTCCCAGATTGCAATAAAGTATAAAAGTACGGCATAGACAGATCATAAAATTAAAACGAAAGAATAAAAAACAAGATAGCACAAAAAGAAGAGAGCACTCATCTATTGATTAGTCTAGCTTGATTAGTTAGATTATAAAATAGAAGAATGGATAAAATTGATGAACTTAGTAATAACTGGCTAATCGCTTATTTTGTCTTATATGAATCTCCTCGAATTCCCAGATTGCAATAAAGTATAAAAGTACTGCGTAGACAGATCATAAAATTAAAACAAAAGAATAAAAAACAAGATAGCACAAAAAGAAGAGAGCATTCATCTATTGGTTAGTCTAGCTTGATTAGTCAGATTATAAAATAGAAGAACAATGGATAAACCTGATGAACTTAGTAATAACTGGCTAATAAATTATAAGGAACGCAACACTTGATCGGCTGTCAAAATCGGAATGCTAATAGCGCAAGTAATCGTATAAAGTACAGAAATATGTCATAATGATAAAATAAGATTGTCTGAATATAATAAATAATACACATGGAAAGATTAAAAGTGAAAATAGACACTGTTTAGAAGATATTAATAAGATGTGATAAAAGCATTTCTATTCAAAATTGTTCAATATTGAAGAATACGCTACAGAAAATCTGTATCGCTTTGTAAATTGAATGGAATATTCCTTTCCTTTTGGAGTGAAAGATGCGACATCTCAGATATTAGCCTTCTATTGTGGTATCTCTCTGAGTCTAAAATTTTAATGTTATTCCAGTCAAAATTGTGACTACAATATTCTATGATATATTATAATATATTATATAAATATTATGTAATGCAATGAAAATAATTTGCAACAGAATTTGAGACAGAATTTATTTATAATTTTATGTATCTAATTAGAAAATTTGATTGTTTCTTTCTTGGATGCGATTGGGTTATTAAAAAATATGACATGGTTATTAAGAAATACATATAAATATTATAAATATAATAAAAATACGGAGAATTGAGGATAATAATTTTTCAATGATAACGCAATAATAACAGTTTAATATCACAAATTATAGCAATCTGCTCGTAGAAATAAACTTCATAAACGTAAAAGAAGTATTTGCTGTAAATGCAGAAAAGAACAAAGTATATTTGACATGCTACATAACAAACTTTTAATCATCATCCAATTAATAATATATCAAAATTTTTTAAGATTAAATAAAAAAATAATTTTTTAAGACTAAATAAAAAACAATTTGAAGATTTACTTAAGTTAATTGAATCTCTTATTAAAGATATTAACATGTGTAAATGCATATCAGCGAAATCTAGGTATTATTTATAGAATTTAGAATTTATGCATATTACACAATGCGACAAAAAGACACTATTTTTTTTCTCCGAAATGCGATGTGTTTTCCGAAGATTTTTTTTGTGCTGAACACAATGCCATTGGCAGAATTTGCCTAGCACGTCAGGATTTGGAATAAATTAGGATAAATTAGAATAAACGGAACAAAAAATAATGTTTTTGACCACTTTTAACATTTTTTTGCGGCAAAAAGGAAACTGATTTCTAAATAAACTTAACGGCATCTGAAAATATAATTCTAGAGCTTTCAAACAAACTTTTAGTTCATGATCGTACGACTTGTTTTTATTAAATTATGGTTATTCGAATTTTAGACTTTTTGTAACATTTAATAATATATACACAGACATATAGCCACGTAATTATAAACACCTAACAGGGATAAAAATTGCTTGAAAAGCGCTTTGAAATCAATAATTCCACCATTTTGAATTGACAATAAAAGTATAATAGCATATGACATAAAACACACATGACAGAGTTTAGAGTTATTAAATACTGAGGAAGTGACGAACCATGGAATTCTGATTTCTGTGTAAAACACACACACATACATCATATATAAGTACGTATTTATTTTTCTTGCAAATTTTACAGAAAGTCTAAAATTTAAATAGTCATAACTTAATTTTAAAAAAGTTTTTAAAAAAGTGTACGATCATGAAAGTTTGTTTGAAAGTTCTTGAATTATAATTTCATATGCCGTTGAGTTTTTTAGAAACTAGTTTTCTTTTTGTTGCAAAAAAATGTTAAAAGTAAAAACTATTTTTGGCCCCTTTCATTCCAATTTACTTAAAATCCTGACGTGCTAGGGCCTAAGCAAATCCTGCCAACGGCTCACAATCAGCGCAAAAAAATATTCAGAAAACGTATTATCGTACTTCAGAAAGAATTTTGTTACCGTGTTATGCATTATTATCAGCACCAATTTTTCTTGAAATTTCACGTTTGCGATCAACAGGAAAATTTGAGCGAAAAGCACCATATATTTATTTTTAATTTCTGTGATTGTTTGATCTTATTATTAGTTCAGAATTTTTTTTAATGCATCGGCACGAGCATATATATTTTTGTAATTAATGGATTTTACTAGATATGTCTAGACAAGCATATTTCTTATATTTAATTAATAAACAAGTAACTTGAACCACGACCAAGACGTATGTTTTTTCTTTTCTTATAAAAATAGAACATTATAGTATAATATAGTAGTTATAATTTTGATTATTCATATTGTTTTCTGTATTACACAACACATAAAATTGTAAATAGAATTCTTTTTCTCAAATTCTGACGCAAATTATATTGTGTTAAACTGGACTTTACTTTAATGTAGGAAAAACAAATGAGGAAAATTATTTATTAATAAATGCTTGCGTAATTATGTATTGTAGTTATTGCTTTAAAGATGTAATTGCTAATTTGCATATAATTGCTTAATTTTCATATAATTGCTAATTTGCATAAAATTGCTAATTTTATGACTTTTATGTATTTATATTAAGATTTTCTACATTAAAAATAATATAGAACGCAGTATGTATACAATAGTTTATCTAATATTTCACACACCATGATTATATTTGTGAGTATATCTATGTTAATTTAATGTTACAAAAATATGAAACTTCCTCTGCAATTGCAAATGTTGGCAACAAATTATATTGTTTGTCGAAAGACCGCAAATGGGAAATACTACTTTATTGTTACTGCCAATTCTGTTAGCATACTTTCGTCAATAATCTTTGCCGGCAAAATATACTATAACAGAGTGACAATTAACAGTAAGCAAATACTGAACATCTTGACGGCAGATGGTAGCAAAGGCCAAGCAGTTTATTACTGCATAGAGTCAATAAATCGCTTCGCAAAATCATTTTGCATAAATGCTACAATACATATTTTGCAGTGAACAGATCTATCCTGAATGTGTTATATCAATCTATCATCACATTGCTATTGTTAGATCTGCTCCGGTATTGTCGTCAATTTGACTGCAGAATATATTCTTTAAGATTTAGTCCATATTGGAAACCTGAGACACAGTAAATCCTGGCTTTGGCACTACAGTTCGCTGGTATTTATTTCCTATTTGACAATATCTTATAATCAAAGGATTTGCTAGATTTTGACATGTTGCTTCGTGTGTATGTGTGTGTGTCTGAGAGTTATTTTCTTCTTAAACTGATTATCTGTCAATCTCCAGCAAAACGCGAACATGCGAATAATATCGATATCTTGACAGACTGGCAAAGAAGAAAGAAAAACTGTGAATTATTCGATTTTTATCATCTCTTGTCAGCGTTTTGAACCCGGAAAAACTGTCTTTGATGACGTGCACTGTTAGAGTTTTCTGTTGTAAACTTCAAAAAAAAAAATGTGTGAAGTTTTTATCCAACAGAATTTTATTGTAAAATCGCAAACCAAATGTTTGATGTGATTTTACAATATTTTAATTGTGACTTTGCAACACTATTTTTACAACACTTTACAACATTGACACTTTACACATACTACACTGACAATGAACCGCACCATGCCTTACGCGCATCAAAAGTGAAATCGCAAAATTTTTTGTGTTTTACAACATGAATATTTTTTTTTACAAATTGCATTAAAAATATAACTTTCATTATCATGAAATCACGAATGTTAATCTAAATTCGTAATTTTTAAGCAAAATACTACAATTATCAGAAATTTACTAAATTCATATGTAATAAAAGTGTTGTGAAATCGCAAACATTTTTAACAGTGTGTAGTGATTGTGCGATTTTCATAAGAAGAAGGCATCGCATATACATATAATAAAATAATATAATAAATGTTTTATAATGTTTTTTGCTTCAGCGTACCGTACCGATGAGACACAAGGAGGTTCACGGCATCAACTCGCATCCCTCCATAAAATTCGCCCTAGACTTCGGATTGTCGTTGATCTCCGAGAAGATTAGGAGTCGCGTGAAGCTTTACACGAGCCTCGAGGACGCTATTAATCACAAGCTGGACGTGAGCATGCTGCCCAAGGAGTACGGCGGTACTATTCCCATGAAGGAGATGATCGGTAATTGACCTCGATTGCAGGCTGTGTGTCATGCATTACTACCGGCATCAGTTTATCTGGAAATTTCACAATTGCGATCAACAGGAAATTTTTAGCAAAAAGCACCATATTTATTTTTAATTTCTGCGATTGTAACGTTCGGCCTCAAACATCTCACAAGAGAACACACGGAAATGTCTTCCTTCAATTTTAATGAGCTTAAAATATGTTAAAATACAGACAAAAATAAGATACTACCAATTTTTTATACGCGCTGAGTCGCATGTTAAGGGGATGATATCCAGCATTGAAAAAAATCGGTTTTTATCTTTCTGAGTAAATATCACGTAAACCGTCAAAGATGAAAAAATGTTTCAAACGAAAGTTTTACCCAGACAGCGCAGATCTCCTATGGACGTCCATAAAACGTTTTAAGGATGTACAAAGTAGACATTTTATGAATATCGTGCGTTATCTGAGTTACGACTCTAAGTGCGCTTTACAATGGCGCATTTTAATTTTTGAAAATTAAGTTTGGGGTGGGGGGTAGTGAATAAAATGATTTTTTTAAATTAAAATACGTCATTGCATTTGAAGTCGTAAAATTTTTGTTCAAAACATTTTTTCATATCTTTGGTTCACGTGATTTTTACCCAGAAAGAGAAAAAAAACGATTTTTTTCAAGGCTGAATATCACCCCCTTAACGTGCGACTCAGTATAAATATATATAAAAGTACGTATAAAAAATTGTTCCTATCCTATATTTTCTGTATTTTAATATGTCCAAAGTTCATTAAAATCGGAAGGGGACACTTCCGTGTGTTCCTTAATTGTCAGTTCAGAAAGACTCATTTTTTAATGGATCAGCACGAGCATATGTATTTACAAAGCAAAGCCCGAGCGTTGCACATCACGTTGTGCGGCGTTTCACCGTAGGTGAAAAATAATAAACTGAACCCTCCCCTCGATGCAGATCTGTGGCGGAAAGAATTATTGAAAATGACACCGTCACTGTTGACCAACGACAAGATGAACGTCTGCCTCGAGCTGTACTCGGAGAAGGCACGAGAAGGCGCGGTCTCGGCGCTGAAGCAAGGATTCGGTTGTTCCAGCGTGGGTTCCAACGACACCACGATGTGCGGCATAAGCGGCTCCTTCAGGAAGCTCGAAGTCGATTGATATACATATATATCTCTAATGTTCTTTACTTATTATGAATACGTTTTCTATCTAGATGTAAACAGCACGGGATCACGAGATACAGATTCATTTTGGAGATAGCACAGAATTTTAGATTAGTCTTGGTATTAAGATGACATAATTTTATTTTTGTATTATGTAGATAACAACCACGCAATACAAGTATTAACCGATGTCTATTATTTTGAATCGCACTATGAACGCATACTAAATGTTGTACATAACTTTTTTTGCTAATGCTTCACAATTAATACAACGAAAAAGAGCGTCGTTTCATTTATTCATCTCCCATTCGAAATCGTCAACCGGCGTATTCGTGGGAAATTTGACAGAAACTTTTATGAGGAAATCCATTTGCCAATTATGTCGCGAATCTTCGCTCTGGTTTCTTTCAAGTCGTCCGTGTCCGTGTCTACATCGCTACTCATATCGCAACAGTGCGAAGATCCTTTAAAATAAGACATTATATTATCTTCTGCTAGAAAAAAAGGCAGAGTTCCGATATGTTCCCGGTAAAAAATTTTTCATATAAGAACATATATAAACATATATAAAAATATATAATTATATATAATTATACATAATTATATGCAAAATATGTCCATACATATTCATATATGTTTCTTTTCTTTGTAAAATTATCGTTTGATACAAGAAAACTGATAGTAATAAAAAGAAAACGTAAAAAATAATTCAAAGAATAATTTTTGCATTGTTTTTTTTTTACAAAAAATTAAGTTTTAAGAAATGAGAAAAAATTGTTTATATATAATTATATGTATATTTTTAATCATTTATATATGATTATATATAAGCAATTCTTTTCATTTCTTTAAACTTGATTTTTTTGTAAAAAATACAATGTAAAAATTATCCTTTTTATTATTATTTTTTTTATTGAAGAA